ACTACCACATGTATAAAATAAAGATTGTGCAGTCCCCACAGTGTGCCTGTCAGACAGGACCACAAACACCTCAGCACATTCTGCAGACCTGCCCACTCTACCTGCAACTTCAAAAAGACACCTGGCCTCAAGAGCAAAGTGCGCAGAGCAAGCTACGGGGAACCTTGCAGGACCTGCAGCTGACATGCGAGTTTATAGAGGCAACCCACCTGATGGTCTGATCTGAGCATACGAAACCGAACGCAAAAAAGAAGATGACTAGTCAAAAGTCTGGATGGCACAAACTGATCTACCGATCACGACCAAAACTGCGACTGTTTTGTCCCAACGGTGGCAATAATTTCTTTCTGAATACTGTATTGCTAAAGATAGGATACGATACGACAGCCAAACCCAACGCTGAATTCAGAGTAAAGAAAACCTATTTTGACCCACACTTGCTCAGTTTGTGCACTCATGGAGATGCAAACTTCAAGCTGATCGCTGCTGTCATTAGTGCCTGCAAATGTACATGTTCTTCTATCCTTCTACTTCTTTCTATGAGTGCCGATCAATACACTTTCTGTTACTTGATTAATTCATAATTCTGCAAATGTACACTTGGGGGGGGGGGGGGTTGTGACGTTAATATATCTGACAGTGTTTGCATCTTGGTCTTCTTAGTTCTCAGATCTCTTCGAAGAAGAGATTTATATCAAATTTAGGATCTACGATTCTTGGGTCACAAGTATAGTTTTCTTGTTCACCGGCTGTGAATTCCGGCAGTAAGTCGCGGTTGTTCGTCCAAATGGACTTTTGGCTTTTACCTTGACCTGAATTTTGCGTGTACATCCGGTTTACTGTCTTATTTGTTAGCAGTCCTCGTTCCCTGCCTCACCGGCAGATGTACTCCGACTTCGAGGGAAGACGTCATGCCTATTTCTAGGTTGACTGTGGCCATTGTTTTGTGTGGGTCGAGATGTTGCCTCGATTGTGTGGTGTCCAATTTGACCTTTAACAGGTGTGGCCCCCGGAATATCCTCCAGCCCTAGGTAGAATTGTCAGCCCTCAAGGGAAGGCAGGGGCAGATCATGGGCATTCGCCGCCATCCAAGGAGGCTTCCATAAATGCAGAGCCGACACATGATGCTCTGGTTCTGGGCTCACCCAAGGAATCGTCACGTCCTGCCCATGACTGCTTAACCTCACAACCGTGTATTGAGCTTCCCGCGCTACAAGGCTGCACTCTCCGGAGATCAGCGGGGAGCAGCCCGCAGGTCCAGGACTTTTGTGGCCGCACAAATAGGTACATTCTTTTTCATCGTACGTTAGACACCTTTAACGTTGTTTCAGCTGTGCCCTTAGCACGACAGAATCAGGCTTCACCTGTTTGGTCCCAGTGGATACGGACATTTGGCTTTTCCTGCTCTGTACGAATTCTGATCGTCGGACTTTGAGTTTGCATGTGTGCCGTGGGGTATAACTTTGTCGGACATTATTTCATAGCCAGCTTATGAAGAGTTGCTGCCGTGGTGTACCTCAGCGCGGTGACGATGACACTGAGGATTGACAGAGGATGTACGTGGGTAGGATCTTGCTGCGAGAAATCGCCCACAAGAGATGTTACTCGTCTTGGCTGCGGGTAAATCTCTCGGTCAGGGTTGAGTCTCAGCAGCACAGTTTTCCATTCGCTTCCGAATTTTAACCGAGAGTTGTCATTTGATGGTACATTTAGCAAGCAATCCTTACTCATGTTCCAAATGAGTTTTGTTATACTTTTCACCCATGCGTTTGGGGGCGGGCTGGTGAGAGCCAGAAAGGGCACTACACCACTAGGGGCCACCAGCTCCGAGATCCCCTGCCAACTCTGTTAATGCTCATTTGAGACATTATCCGTGACGTGGACGTGCGGCAGGAGTCTTTGCATGAGGTTCCGTAAAACCAGAACAGTGAAGGACTGGCGCCAGAGTGGGGTACGGGATATCTCCTTATACACATCACATCAGACTTAACTTCCCCTCATGCCTGTGACCGAAATCACCGCACCACACAAGTATAGTTTAAACTCTTTAGGAATAACACGACCGCCATTAAATAGTTTTGTTGAAATGCAAGCTTGTCAATGTGAATACTATAAAACATTGTTTAACACAATATTCTTACCAACGCTATGCTGTCAATGTCAAACATGGACACTTGCTTATCTTCAGAAGACAGAACAAAATAGTCACGACATAAATGAAATATTTGCGTTCTTTGCTAGGTGTAATGAGGACAGATTGACCTAGGAACAATGACATCAGGAAGAGAGTCGGCACAGAACCAATAATGAACTTTATAGTTAAACAAAAAATCATATGGTTTTGCCATGACACAAGACTGACATAAGACAGGGCAGCAATGTTATACAGGTATTTTATACGAAGGGAAGAGAAGGACCAGTTCCAGCCCTGCCGTGGGGCGGCGAGACATTCCGGATTATACCCAAAAAAAAAAAAAAGTGTTATCGCTGTAAAATTAAATTTCATACCATGCTTTTCTCACATAAAACAGACGATGTATGTTACGTTCACCCCACGGTGTTTTACTACACAGCTACTAAACTTGACCACGCTTTGGGATACACACAGCAACCGCTGTAATCAACGCTCCCAGAAGGCTGCAGCTGAAAGGTTATTATGCTCGGTAGCAGGGAATGCCAGCAAATTGCCATAGCAGGGCTGCTGTCATGGGTGCCTACACAAAGAAAACAAGTGTGGGGGGGGGGGGGGAATGTCGGTCTCAATTCACATTTTTTAAGGATGAGGAGGCTTATGGGACATTTATGAGTGTGTTTTTTAAGTTTACAGAACCAACTCCTGCATTTTATTCAGCTGTAGCTCAATTGTGATTTCACTAGGAAAGTATACATGCAGTAGTCTGGTATTGCTCTATAGACGGCTGGCTCTCGATACCCGTACTAGAACCAGCACAAGTCAGCCTGCTGCCAAATCGCACAGCTGGGGTCGAACTCGCCAAAAAAAAAAAAAAAAAAATTACAAAGCCAAATACAAAATACCGCACAGTTCATAATATATCTTCATCAACATTTGCACGTGTCCAGAAACAAAACTTTCACAACAGCTTTCTTACAACACAGTTTTCAAGGCAACGTTATTGTAAAAAATAATAATCTTCCTCATGAGCCAGTATCCATTCTTTGTGTATCTTCACATAATAATACCATTTGTTTCGTATTTAATATTGTCTGGATTACGGCTAACCCTAACCTAAAGCAGTATTAACTATTACGGGTCGCCGTTCTAAATGGATAAGTAAACGGGGTGTACCCTATGTATCTATTCTTTCATGCAAAAGTATAAAGATACCGTTAAAGTCCAAAGGATAGCCCCCATTCCATAGAATATAACCTAAATTTTGGGACAGAAGGGCTTGCGCCCCTAGGTGCCGGCGCCTATGCTTGCTACCGAGTAGTGTTTCCGTGATGTCGTTTACAATAGGTCAAATATCCACTTGTAGAAGTAGAGGCAGGGAGATCTATGTAGGACTACGTGTTTTATGTGAGCAGCAGGCGAGGTATATATCGTTTTTGTTAATGCTTTTTCAGGATACTGGTTAGTTTTCCTAAAAATGTTGTGTTTCTTTTTGTGGTACGTATTATGTCATGGTACAATAAGAAAAATAATAACTTGAAATATTTGTCATAAAAGGGTGACTATGCGTCCTGTATTCACCGGGAAAGTCAAATGTTCCGTTTTGTACAAGTCGAGGAATAAGCTCGAGAATATAACATATAGGGGGGAGGGGCATGGCATCCGCATGGAGTGATGGAGGTCCCGACTTCAGGGCCCGGTGAAGGCTGGGTACTTTTCACGTGGAGTTCTAGTAATTTCCCCTGGTCTCTGGATAGTAAGATAGGACGCCCATGTGTATTATTGCCCCTGTAAAATATCCCTTGGCAATTGGAAATCGAAAACAGTAGCCTAACGGCCCTGCCTGAGCAAAATTTGGAGTTTAATATCTACCCAGAGTATTTCAGGATATGGCGCTGGTGCTACGGGTTTCGTGCACTGCGCTGAGATTTTTCGGACACAGGCTTGAGTTAGAAGTAGAACGGAGCACTTGTGACATAATGTTGATCCGTTGTTAAAACAAGTTCTATCAGAACGTACATCTCTAGGTTAGGTTAGTTGCGTATCCTTTACAGGACGTTGCAGAACCAACCCCAGCAGCCTCTAGCTTTTGTGTGGTTTCTCTAGGCAAATTTACGTCCAGTAGTTTATCGTTGCTCCCTAGACGGTCGGCCCCCTGATTCCACTGTCGAAACCAACTATCTCTCTAGACCTAATTATATTTCATAGTCATCGACACAACGTCTGTGTTTTTAAATGTTAAACGTTGAATAAAGAATCGACATAATAGCACTCTTGACAACACATAAGCTCTCCGTCCCTATCTTTGGCAGCAACGAAGAGTACCAATTTTGTTGGCACTAGCAACTGTCTGATTGTATATCCGTCTCGCCATTCTCCTCAGACCGTAAGGATCTATTTGCGCTTCCGCACATTTCACTCGCTCCCAGAGGGCTCTCACAACGCCTGGCTTGTCATACATCAGTTTACGACCAAGTGGTGCAAACTCGACCAGTCTGTCTGCATGCTCATTTCTCAACACACCGGCATTATCTGGAGATATTACCCAAAGGATACTAACTACCCAGGACCTCTGAAGTTATGCTTGCCACTCATATGTCGATATATAGACATCAAAGTGTGTAAGAATGAACTTTTTCAAACTAAAAACATAACCTGGCTCAGATTCGCTATTTCCCCTGGTTAGCATTGTCTGGAAAATATGACGTCAGAATTTATATCCCTTTGTTCGCAAGGATATATATATGGTAGGTGCTTAATTAGACCCCAAGCTATATGATATACATCTAACACACATTACTTTGTCTTTCTTTCTCTCCATTCATATAGGCATCAACCATTGTTCCAGAAGGTGATATCCAGCTGAACAATGGCAAGCCATCTTACAGTGGAGACACTTCTTTCATTGACACCGTTTCAACCAGACGGCAGCGACGCTGTCACCAGCGCATCACGTGATTTTCTTTTAAGTTGTATCAAAAGTCAACCGGCAATACACCGAGTTTTTTTCCCCAGCTTCGAACCTCCTCCATTACTGAAGCTGGTCGAGTACAGAACTTTTCCCATAGACGCGCTGTCCACGGCGTTCATCGCAGAGGCAATATCAAAGCTCAAAGACCCGTATAATTTCTATAGAATTATAAACAAAGCTGTTGTGGAAGATCAGCTGAAGGAGGTTTATGAAAGTCTGCATTGGAAAAAGTTGGGTTAGTGCTTCCTCATACTCGTCATCATCAGCATCATCATCGATATTATAACCATCGGCATTGTCTCTACTGCCACAGTTGCAGTCCCTTTTGATTTACATTACAGTATTTATCATAACTTCTTAAACTACGACAATTATCTTCATTTCTAACATGACTACAGTTATCAACATTCCTCACACCACCACAGTTATCATCCTTCCATACACTACCACAATTACCATCATTTCATACACTACCACATTTATGATCGTTACCTACACTACCACATTTATGATCGTTACCTACACTACCACATTTATGATCGTTACCTACACTACCACATTTATGATCGTTACCTACACTACCACATTTATCATCATTCCCTACACTACCACATTTATGATCGTTACCTACACTACCACATTTATGATCGTTACCTACACTACCACATTTATGATCGTTACCTACACTACCACATTTATCATCATTCCCTACACTACTACATTCATGATCGTTACCTACACTACCACATTTATGATCGTTCCCTACACTACCACATTTATTATCACTTCCAATGCTACCACAGTAAGTCATCACTATTTCCTACGCTACCAGAATTATCATCATCACCTACCCTACCACAGGTATCACCATCCCCTGCACTACCAGAATTATCATTGCCTATCTATAGTATGTTGTTTTGTGGTTTACAGCCAGACTGTGATATCTGTGCTTTGAAATAAATTAAAATAAAACTACACTTGTGTACCGAAAGACCCAGATCGAACACCAACCCACGATCTATCGCCACTGCCAACCCCCGATCACTTTTCCCCTACGTCTTCATGTGTACTTGGCATATAGGGCTAGGCCTCTATGTTAGGCACTTTGTGGGTGATGTGGTCAACATGAAGCCGACCGCCGTTACTTTCAAGGCCTTACCTTGTACCCATTGAAGGTTTGGTCGACCTTTGAATCCGCTGGCGAGCGTCTAGTCGCTACATCACGATGACTCCCTTTCCATTAGAACGGCCATGTTAATTTCAGCCACCACTGCTTTTCTGATAGACCAGGAAGGAGAAAAACGTCGACATCGTTCATGATCTGGCATCTGGGAGAAAATGCTCATTCACAGCATCCTGTCCTGAAAGCTGATGTATTTTGATCATGTTAAACATCACGGCGGGCTCGAGAGAACTGTGACGGAAGGCGCAGTTTCACGAAAACGAAGCAGAAGCAGAACTCCGCTAAAATGGACAGCAGATACAGACGATGCATTGACTGTGAAAGCAAACAGTGCTGGAGAATTGGCAGGCGAAAAATAGACTTTTGGACGTACCTAGACGGGAGCGGCATTATTTGAAGGCCCCACTGCTTGATGATGACTGCTTTGCTTGTTAGAATATGTAAACTGTTGACTGAAGGTGGCCGTCTCCTCCCTAGGGTTTCATCTGTACACGACTCTGTACCCTGACGTTGTGAGAGAAACCAGTACAAACATCAGACTTCGAGATTTCATGGGCGCAGACGGGTAAGAAAACTGGGATGTCTTTCTTTGTGTTTCTTTTAAAGTTAACAACCTTTAATTTATGTATGCTGTACAAATTTATATGTGTCTACCATGGGGGAGACTACATACATACATACATACATACATACATACATACATACATACATACATACATACATACATACATACATACATACATACATACATACATACATACATACATACATACATACATACATACATACATACATACATACATACATACATACATACATACATACATACATACAAACATACATACGTACGTACACATATACAGACGGACAGATAAGATAGGTAAATCCCCGTGTTGGTTTCGGGACTTCATTGTAGGGAAGACAAGAATATACACACTGTTCCCACCCCCTTTTTCCAGAAAGCATGTCGTAAGAGTCGAATAATTGGGGGCTTTCTTCAAAGTCAGAGTTTATCTGCCTGAGATGCAAGGAACACAGTCTACACACAGTTATGTCAGATCTGTAAAACAGATGTACATGCAATACACCGGTTCTGGACCAACATTAAAGTCCAGAGGTGGACGAACAGTCAGAATTTTCTGCCGGAGTTTATAGCTGGTGCACGAGAAGAAGTAGAAGATAGGCAAGATAGATTGGACGGACAGACAGATAGATTGGACGGGCAGATAGATAGACAGATAGACTGGACGGACAGACAGACGGGAAGATAGATAGATAGATAGATAGATAGATAGATAGATAGATAGATAGATAGATAGATAGATAGATAGATAGATAGATAGAGAGAGAGAGAGAGAGAGAGAGAGGGAGAGAGAGAGAGAGAAAGGCGATCATACTGGAAAATTATGAACCGAAATGACACATTTCTTCATCCCCTTGATCAGGCATATATGGGCCGAGAAACTGGCGTCTCATGTCATGGACCCCAGGTGGCTGAGATCCATCCACCAAGGGATAGTGAGAGGTCGCTACACCGAAGATCTGTACAACAGGGACATGAATGCTTTGTTTGTGAAGCTCCATCTGTTAGACCCACAGTCGGTAATTCCAGTATACCAGTTCCTACTCAATCAGAAAGGTATGACACATTTCTGGATAGATTCATCCATTATCTAAAATAACATTTAAAATAAAATTGCATACCTAATATTCTGGCAACATACGGAGGCAAATCTCTGGTTAGTTCTCAATCCCATAGTGCACCGCGAGCAGTCTTGTAACCCTTGCAGAGCTCTACATGACTTCGACCACTGGGTCGCTCATTGGCTTGCCGGTAGACGACTTCGCCGCCGATCGGAACAGTATTTGGGTCTGTCTCCTTTGCATGAATTCTTGTCAGAGCTTTTGGTGGCGTACAGAGCTAAGCCATTTTAGACGGCGCACATAACCTAGTCACAATTATAGCCTAAAACTCCTCCTTCGGGGATGCTAGTTGAACGTTATGATATTTTTCCCAGCAAAGCACATGCTCATTAGTCTGTCTGCGGCAGGATAAGGCGGAGTTAACGTTTGTTGTCCATGGACAGAATTAGGTTTCGCTTTCGCTGTTCGTCCAACTAGGAGAGCCAGCTGCTCCGGGAGGGACAACTCATTTAAATTCCTTGAAATTTCCTTACTGACTCTGCATCCAAGTGGCTACCTGAAGGTTTAACACTCAGAGATTCCAAAAATTTCTAAGTCATGGCATCAAGGCACATCCAAGATGCCCCTTTAAATCTCCAAATAATTCATAAGTGGGGCACCTTCGACGGCTTCTCCAACCCGGTCTAGCTGTTCCATTGGGACCAGGTCGTCATCCTTGCCTTGTTTTGCAAAAGCCAGGGTGGTGCTGCAAAATAACAAAAAATTGCATCCCACAAGGGGATGACAACTTGTTGAATACTAATTTATGATTTCATCTTGTATTTTACCTTACTTCTAATCATTTTCGTCCTTTTTAGGACGAAATTTTTTGTTATTTGAAGCCCCATCCTGGCTTTTGCCAGGGGCCACAATATAGGCAGGCCATAGGTATGGCCAGTTGTCTGAACGCGGTTTCTGGGACCTCTTCACGGCGATCCTCATCCACATGGTGGCACTTTGTGTCATCGGGTGTTTATCGCTTGTGTGATGTCCTGGTGGGGTAGAAAGTCAGTCAGTCTGTATTTTACCTCCGTAGACAGCTCCCTCAAGCATATTGTAGGGTTTTTCATGGTTGATTGAATTTACCAGCTACAGTTAGACTTCTTCTTTGCTTTCACCGACTGTAAACTCTGGCGGAAAGTTCTGGTTGTTCGTCCATCTCCGGACTTTAGTCTTGTGTCCGAGCCTGAGTAATAACTGCAAGATGTACTCAGTGTCACACTCGTTTTCAATTGCCCCCTCTTACTGCATGGAATGTTATACAATGGCTTCTTCTGCGTTCGCCTCTAAAAGGGCGATTGTCACCTTGTGTTGTGGTTAGCATCTAAAGATATCTGCTCCATTCAGTCCAACACATCCTATTTTAAAACTTTACTTAGTCGCCTTTTACGACATACTTGTTAAGAAGCTATGGATCTGTTCTTGTCCTCAAAATAATCGGAACTGACAGGGAATGCTACGGTAACTATTATTAGTAGCCCGTTACACATGGCGTTATTACTTTTCCTTATAATACCATGACTGTTGCTTCTAAGGCCTGTAATGGTTTTCGACTGTGGCCAACGTGGTGTTGTGAATTGTAGATTCAGAAAATGGCGCGTGGCCTGTCATCGCTATATTGGTGGTGCCCTTGTGTGATTAAAATTGATCGTGTTTGCAACTGCTGATTTGTTGGTTACCTCTGTTGCCGTCGATGATGAACTGCATTTCTAATGTCGGACTATTTGTCTGATGGCTAGCGTATGCTTTTAATGCGTATGTATGCTAGTGCATATGCTGAGACAGCAGTCTGTCAATCTTTTCACAAGAGACGGTGATGATCATTCTGTGTGTTTTTCTTTGGCACAGAAGCGGAGCAGCTATGGGGTGACCCGTTCGCTATGAAGTTGAAACTAACATTGTCAAGATTACCAAGGGTTTGCTTTGAAATTGTTAGTGATAGATCCACAATTTCTCTGTCCCCAGCCCTCCCTGTGGTCAACCTAGAACTGGCCACACGCAACTACCTTGGCGGACGTCTGGAGTGGTCACTCATTAAGACCGATATTGAACGTGCAGAAAACAAATCCAAGACCCCGCTGACCGCCAGCAGACTTAGTCTAACATCGGACATCGATCTCCACTACGGCGTTGATGTGGAGGACTTCATCGTCACCGAGTGTAGGGCTATGGGCCTGTGGAATGGGACGAGACCTGACAACTACAAGATTATGAAAGCCAGAGATCGATGTGTTCTGATGTGATTTCAGAAATACAAAATTTTAAATAAACCGCAGGAACGTATTCATACAACAGTGTGTAAGACAGTTAAAAATTGCATGAAAAAAAAAAAAAACTACATTGCATCGACCGGGAATCGAACCCGGGTCACCCGCGTGGCAGGCGAGTATTCTACCACTAGACCACCGATGCTGTACAGATACGTGAGAGATGCACCATTAATGTCAAATTCACGCAACCTTATACATAATGTTTCATCTCACATTGTTTCTTCTGCCAGCACTCGTTCATAAATGCGGTTTCGAATTTCTTTCATGTCCGGTATGAGTTGTTTTTAATGATGACTTTCAATCACACCGGACGATAAACACCAGGTGACACAAAGTGCCATCATTCGTATGAGGACGGGCTGGGGACAGGGTCCAGAAACACTGTTCAACTCATACGGTTGGGTTATATTAGGGCCCCGGCAGCAGCCGTAGTGTGTCTTTAAAAGAACAACGACAACAAAACTGGCCTCTGACATCGGGACTCACAACACCTATTAATGTGTTTTTTGTTTCTCGTTTCCCTCCTCTCTCTCTCTCTCTCTCTCTCTCTCTCTCTCTCTCTCTCTGTGTGTGTGTGTGTATGTGTGTGAGAGGCAGCGAGATTGTAGACTAGTCGGTACTCCAAATGTGATGAGGTTAACATCTAGCAATTATCTCCTACAAATCTAGTCACACTACAGCAGTCTACCCCCCCCCCCCTTTACCCCACCCTACCCCTTCATTCGTTACGTTTTCTCCAGTTTTTGACTTCGACTGACCAGATTTCCTTTTTTCGCTTGCACGCTCCCCTGTTTTTATACAGTTTAAGGCGCTCCAGTTCAGTATTAAGAACTTTATGTATTATATTTATATTATACAATATGTGGTTTATTATTATGTCGTTTTGTGTGTTTAAATAATATTTGAATACTGTAATGTAGTCACTTCTGTCAGTTTATCTGTATTGTGTTTTGTTTCATGTCGTTGTTCTGCCAAGGAAGGCTAATCGCAGCAACGTTCTCTTTTATTGTGTTTTTATAAACGTACCTTATACTTTACGTTTGTTTCTCACCGTGTTCACTCTTTTTTTTTTCTTTCCTGTCTCTTGCAATCTTTCTTAGATATTCGTCAGCTGGCTTCTCACCTGTTTTCATTTTGGGTTGGGTCGATCCGGAAACCAAGGTATTTTTTATGAAATAGGAAAAGAAAAATAATAAAACATGGTCTAGGCCAGTGGCTCTTAACCTTTCTAATACCGTGACCCTTTAATACAGTTCCCTCATGTTGTGGCTACCCTTTAATACAGTTCCCTCACGTTGTGGCGACCTCAAAAACAATTATTTTCGGTTACAAGTTCAATGAATATGTGTTTTCCGATGGTCTTAGGCGACCCTTGTTGGTCGTTCGACCTATTTAAAAAAAAAATGGGGCCGCGACTGGCAAGTTGAGAACTGCTGCTCTAGGCAGTTGAACTAAGTTTGCTCCCTGGCCAAAAATTTTGAAAATGGGATCGTCACGGGCCTGATGGGCGAGCTCCAGCGTGGAAAGATCAGTATTACAACACAACTGGCAATAATCCGCGGGCCATTTACTACACCTCCGCGGGCGAGATGTGGCCCGTGGGCCGCCAGTTGAATAAGTCTAGCTGTTGTCAAGCACAGGCATTTTTCTACGCAGGAACAAACCGACGCTACTGGGGGGCGTTGAGTACACAGTATTTCAGAACAGAATTAGACCTTCTCGATATAACCCCCGCAAATGTGCAGCAATTATCTATGCGTACTTGTGCAGCAGTTAACAATGCAGCACAGATTACTTCAAATGGCAGTAGCAGTCATCCAACGGTTCTCAACATATGATTATCAAGGAACGGTTTCTAATTAAAAGTATGATAGTAGAGTTGAGAAGAGAATTCGATTGTACAGTGGGAAGGCTAGGGAGGACATTGGAAGAGCTACATGGAAATATTTTATATTTGTGTGTGTGTGTGTGTGTGTGTGTGTGTGTGTGTGTGCGTGCGTGCGTGCGTGCGTGTGTGTGTGTGTGGTTTCATTTTTCCAGCCAGGCCTTCCCACCCCTTCCCGCCTTCAGATGTGATACCCATAAATTACAAAATTACAATCTAAATGGTGGACTAACAAAGCAAAAGCCAGATATCTCATTCAACAAGCAAAGAAGTTATATCAGGGCACCTGTAATGGCTACAGGGCTGATGTAACCTTCTATCCTTTGGGGGCGGGGGGGTGAAAATAAATAATTGCGAAAAGAAAAAAAAAACATTGCATCGACCGGGAATCGAACCCGGGTCACCCGCGTGGCAGGCGAGTATTCTACCACTAGACCACCGATGCTGTACAGATTCCGGCGAGCTAAAGGTACCAGTACAGGGGCTGTAAAGGCTAGAGAAGAAAGAAGGATAAAGATATACTTGACAAGTTTATCATTGTTAGACATTTGTTGTCGCTATGATTAAAGTTTGTGACAGTATTTTTATATAGGTGTAAACAAAACAAATAAAAAAAGACTTTTTTTTTCAGTTTGTTGCAAAGATTTCGGTCAATACGTTACATTGTAACCTGAGTGTTTTTCTCTTCACAAACATAGCTTCTTATTTGCTTGTATTATTCTTCTTCCGTTCCGACACTGTTCTGTAAGTCAACTTTGTTCTCTCACTTTTCCTTCTTTGGTGGTCGTCAATGAACATTTATTACGTCAGTGACTCTCAACCTTCCTGATACCGAGACCCTTTTATACAGTTCCCTCATGTTATGGCAATCCCTAAACAATTTTTTTTTCTGTTCAACTTTAATGAATATGTTTTTTTCCCCCGATGGTCAAAGGCGACCCCTGTGAAAGGGTCATTCGACCCCAACAATTGTCTCGACCCGCTGGTTGAGAGCCGCGAATTTACGCAATGTCGCCGCCACACTCACTCACTCACTTCTTTCTTTCTTTCTTTCTTTCTTTCTTTCTTTCTTTCTTTCTTTCTTTCTTTCTTTCTTTCTTTCTTTCTTTCTTTCTTTCTTTCTTTCTTTCTTTCTTTCTTTCTTTCTTTCTTTCTTTCTTTCTTTCTTTCTTTCTTTCTTTCTTTCTTTCTTTCTTTCTTTCTTTCTTTCTTTCTTTCTTTCTTTCTTTCTTTCTTTCTTTCTTTCTTTCTTTCTTTCTTTCTTTCTTTCTTTCTTTCTTTCTTTCTTTCTTTCTGTCTGTTTGTCTGTCTGTCTTTTTTTCTTTATTTCTTCGTTAATTTTTTTCCTTTATTTCTTCTTTCTTTATATCCCTTCATTCCTTTATTTTCTTCTAGCCTTTTCGTTTGACATTGTCTAATCCGTTGAATCACCTAATACCTATTCTAAAAGGCTGGGTGGACCCCATTTTGTTACTGGTCAGAATTCCCTGAGTAGGGTCTAACACCCCACCGTGGTGGGATAAGTATAGGCCCTCTGCGCCTTACATGCATGCCGTAAAGGATTATTTACTAGGCTGGTGAGGAAAATCAGGAGTGAGAGTACACGTTCCTGTCTAACGCCTTGTTTAAAGATTTGTAGTCCCCACTTGGTTGTCCATTCATTAATTGGCCAATTAGTTAAAATTAGCTGGAAGCAGCGGAAATGTGATTTCATAGAATAATGATCACAACACGCTGAACAGATAAAAAAAAAAAGTAACGAAGATGTATTAAAACAAACTGCGTGCCCTCATCAGAGGGAGACAATCTACCGTTTATTATCCTGTCAGGAGAAAACTGGAGTAAATATCTGGGATGGGAAAGTTAGAGACGAAAAGAGACAGAGGGATATTGAGATAGAAGATGATGAAAAGTCTGAAGTCATGGTATGAGAGATCATGTGTGAGGATATTGAGATAGAAGATGATGAAAAGTCTGAAGTCATGGTATGAGAGATCATGTGTGAGGATATTGAGATAGAAGATGAAAAGTCTGAAGTCATGGTATGAGAGATCATGTGTGAGGATATTGAGATAAAAGATGATGAAAAGTCTGAAGTCATGGTATGAGAGATCATGTGTGAGGATATTGAGATAAAAGATGATGAAAAGTCTGAAGTCATGGTATGAGAGATCATGTGTGAGGATATTGAGATAGAAGATGATGAAAAGTCTGAAGTCATGGTATGAGAGATCATGTGTGAGGATATTGAGATAGAAGATGATGAAAAGTCTGAAGTCATGGTATGAGAGATCATGTGTGAGGATATTGAGATAGAAGATGATGAAAAGTCTGAAGTCATGGTATGAGAGATCATGTGTGAGGATATTGAGATAGAAGATGATGAAAAGTCTGAAGTCATGGTATGAGAGATCATGTGTGAGGATATTGAGATAGAAGATGATGAAAAGTCTGAAGTCATGGTATGAGAGATCATGTGTGAGGATATTGAAATTACTCGAGACAGACTGTTGCCACACTTCATGGACTACAAGAAGAAAAAGTTGAAGATAATTTTAATCCTGAAGATTAAACAAATCTATAGTTCTCTAGAAGTGCTGCTGGTCGAACGGTTATTACGCTGTGCTTTCCAGCGGGAGACCCAGGTTCGAATCCTCGGTAAGGCTGGTATCTTTTCTGTCGGGGCAAAGTAAAATCCTCACCTGCACAGTTGTGGCTACAACACTAGCCATGCGGATGTAAATCCTCAGGCTCAAAGACCCTCCTGCCTACACCGCGAAAGTGGTATAATAAAGACAGTATTTGACAGTTTTGGCTCTCCTGTGTAGGAGAGAAAGGATAGAAATTGTTTATGCAAGTTACAAAACAAATATTCTAGCCTGCACAGTTCGTGGCGACTGAACTAGACATGCGGCCTTAAACCTTAAGCTCCCAACCTCTTTGTTCTACATCATCTGAAAAGTGCTAAATGCTGTAAAGACTGAGGTTTGAGGCTTGAGTTTTGAAAAACGGATCAACATCATGGCACACGGGTAGTAACCCATAAGTGCTCCGTTCTTCTAACCCAAATTTGAGTATGAAAAAGCTC